CTTAGGCAGTGCTCTACCTTAATGGAGCTCTCACAAGGCAAGCAATGGGACATGCCGGCGCAGGATACGCCGTCGCCCGGCAGAGGAGAGAGCAGAAGACTGAGGAGCCACTGCGGCATCCTGCCCGGGAGTCGAGCCCACTGAGTAGTCTGAAGCTTAAGCTATGCAGACGAGCGATCTTGCCGCCCTTTCTCCCGCTCCCAAGGGAGACGCGGCTTCCATCACCCGCTTCCATAGCAGCAGCAGCAGCAGCCGCCGCCAAGGAAATCCTCCGGAGGGGACCAAACCCGAACACCCTCCCTACCCCTCCCAGGCCCTTGGGATCCCGCGGTGATTTAAGCTATTGCCGCGCCGCCGAAAAGTCTGTTCGTTTGGTCGGGGAGTGAGGCAATGAACAGAACCGATCGAACCGAGTCAAGTTATCTCAACGGTAGCTGAGACTTAGAGACTCTGAAACCAAGCCCAATGCTTTAAAGGAGCGTCTGGACCTCCCTTCTTCCCCTCAGGAAAGAAGCGAGTGCCTGGACCCATCTGAAGCAGGGACTTTAAATCTGCTACAAGTTACCTGTATGTGTATATTAGAGATTAGGACAATTCTCTAAAGCTTTAGTAAAACAGCCTTTTCTAAAGCGCTGTCGTTCTATTGTCTAATGGAAACTCCTTCCCCTTCTTTCCTCTCAGTTCTAGGATGGGCTTTAGATTGTAAAGCACTCTGAATTTAAGGATGGCATGGAGTATAAAATACAGGTAGTCCTCAATTTACGACCACAATTGAGCCCAGCATTTCGATTGCTAAGCCAGACAGTTGTTAAGTGTGTCACTGAAGTTAAGTTCATAACACTGTTCTTAAGTGAATCTGATTTCCCCATTGACTCTGCTTGTCAGAAGGCCTCAAAAGAGTATATTTTCTTGATTCTGGGATACCGCAACCATCATAAATATGAACCAGTGACCAAGCGTCCAAATGACCATGAGTATCCTGCAAAGGTTATAATTATGAAAATGGTCATAAGTTATTTTTTTATACTGTTTGTAATTTCGAACAGTTACTAAACTAATGGTTGTATGTCAAGGACTACCTGTATCAGGGTTATGATAAACTAGAAAGTATTATAAAACAAATACATTATTTATGTAAGATAGGTTGCCGATTTATTTTAAAAAATCAGGCTAAATACTCTTCATACTTTGGGAAACAATTCTGTCAAACCTTGCAACTACTAGCAAAATATAATGGGATATCTGACAATATTCATGCTGTAGACATACTCCCCAATGTAATGGCTGGATTGCAAAGGCTATATGACTATATGATAATGATATGTCAAAAGGTTTAGTAAGCACAAAAGACATTCCATCCTGCATTTTCAACAAACACGAGTAAGAGAAAATCTACAGGAGAATCTGCCAACATAGCTACCTGTTCCAGTTAAGGCAGTTAAGGTTTTTTAACATAAAAGAACATGTTATATCATTTATACAATTGTTACATATTTGCAATAATGACTTATAAAATATGTGATACCAGCATGCACAATCCTATAAAGAATCCAATTTTTGACAAAAGCTCTGATTTGAGAGATGTTTCAGCATACTACTGCAACTGCTAAACATGTTTTCCCAAGGATTCAGTTTTCTACCACTCTAAATCTTGAATTGCAATCAGACTAAAACTTTGTTTCTAAACACAAGCACTATGACATTTTGAATTTAATGTGTGAATATGAGTATTTTGCAAATACGTTTTCTATTTTTTGTGATATGCTAGTTGTACAAACCCAAATTATTAAAACACTGCAAACATAAAATCTGATCTTAATACCTGTACTCATTAAAAAGCTTAAAACAGAATAATGCTAATAAAAAGATGGCATATGCCATCTTTTAAACAGCTGTGCTTTCATATTTTTTTGAAAGATGACTGAAATAGGGGATTATTTGTTGCATTATTGACATAAGTAAGAATCTGTAAGAGATCCTTCCAAAGAACTTTTAGAATTACATACTAAACACATGAGCATTATCAAAGGTAATATCAATATCACATAAACATGTGTTCCTCTGTAATATTTAGTCTCTTACATTCATTTTTCTTTTAGACAATCCCTGTCAGCAAAACTGATCTGTATATGTATATACCTATGTGTGCATGTTCACACAGATATACAATTATAAAATACAAAACATTCTCAGGAACTTTATGAAATATTCCAGCTTGGTCTCTGGTGTCTACTTTAAAAATCTTCTAATAAACAGATTAAAAAAGGTTTTGCAAACAAATGGAGGCTTGTTAGTTCATTTTCTAGACCATCAATCCATGCATAATTGAGACCAACATACATATGTATTTCCTGTGGAGTATTTTCTTTCTGCCAGCTTTTCTTTCCATTTCTTATCACTTTCAGAAACAGAATTACAATCTATAATACAGGTAGTCCTTCACTTATAACAGTTCATTTAGTGACCATTCAAAGATTGGAACTGAAGCTGAAAGAAGTAACCTATAACCAGTTTTCACACTTATGACCTATGCAGCATTCCCCCAAGGTCACGTGATCAAAATTCAGACACTTGGCAATTGATTCATGGTGGTTGTTGTATCTCAGGGTCATGTGATCACCTTTTGTGACCTTCTGACAAGGTACAGCAATGGAGAAGCCATTCACTTAACAACCATTTTACTAATTGAACAACTGCAGAAAGGTTGTAAAATGAGGGGGGGTTAACCTAACAATGGTCTTAGCAACAGAAATTTAGCGCTCAATTGTCATCATAAGTCGGGAACTACCTGTATTGTATGCAAAGAAATAATAGATCTGAGAAGTTAGAAATGTTACCATGTACTCAGACTTACACTTGGAAAGTAATTGTAATGTCTAATAGAGCAACGAGGGTTTCAATATTTAGAAAGGTGAGAGAGTGGGGTCTCTGAATATATTGCAGTAGGAAAGGGAGCGCCTGTTGCAACATTCTTAAGCAATTATGTCTCTTTCCGGCATTGCATGTAGCTACTTTAAGCTGTTCTAGAGCAGCACTCTCCAACCTTGACAACTTTAGAACTTGTGGACTTTGACTCCCAGAATTCTGGGAGTTAAAGTCCACAAGTCTTAAAGTTGACAAGGTTGGAGACCCCTGCTCTAGAGAGGTGATGTGTTTGGTTTTCAAAGAACGTTTTTGGAGCGGAATCGAAAGTGTTATACATGAATGTCACAAGAATTCCGACACTGGAAGTAATTTCTGGTTACATTTCTATCTGCTATTCATTATGGTAGATTCTGAAACAATGATAGATGGCCAAAAACAGCAGGATAGTAACTGAACTAAATTCATAGCAAATAATTTAGTCTCATAATATTTTAAGGGATTAACTTCTAGTCTGTAGTCTGTATAGAACTGCAACTGTAAATTCAGGATCATGCTTTTGGAAAATGTAGTCCATATCCACTCAAAGTATTGAGTATTCCTATTGTTTACAAGAGGTTTAACTGTAGATTTCTCAATCCAATTTTCTGACGCATATTGAACTATAAACTAACCTACTAGTTGAAGAACCTGCTGGACTGTATTGTTGAATGCTTTGTGGCTCAATGTAGTTTGTGTATATCTCAGTATACAGCAGTTTACCACTAAGAAGGTAAGATTGTGATGATTGAAATTACCTAGCTAACTTTGGATTAAAAATCAAAGCAAGATTAGACCTGCTTAGGACAGGACAGCTCCAGGAACTCTCAAGACTAAACTACGTAGGAATCACAAGCAATCAACCAATCACAAACCACTTCTTTGTTGTTGCCCCCCAAAAATCCAAACAATATAGAAGCGTCCATGAATTCACCAGAAATCAAGTCTAACTTCAACCAGAGATTCATTTATACACCACTTATAACTTATTCAACAAATCATAGTTGAACAAAATGGCTTACTTCATGTGTAAATCTATCAGGAGCTGAATGATTTAAGAGGGTTAGGATAGAATTTAATACACAGAACTGTTAGATGTAATTTGCAATTATCTAAACTATTAATGTTGAAAAATTGAAGGCATGCTTCATAAAGTATTTCTACAATTAAATAGGCCACGGGCATATTGTAACTATGAATGCTTTCCACATGGGATAATTTGCATAGGATAATTGAACTGAACTTGTTTCCATTGTTTATTTTAAACCCCAAAGGTTTAAAATTTTGGAATTGAGGGTACATTTTGCTTTGTTTACAAAGGGTAGTCTGGCTGATCTCAATTGATCCCAAAGATGTTAATCAGGGTGAGATTCGGAAGTTTAAAAAAGCATCTGGGAAGAAAGCAGTAGCAATAATTTCCGGACTAGAAAACAAAGACGCGTCCAGGAAGTTACCTGGAGTCGAGCTTAATAAAACAGTTTTAGGATCTCGCCCAACTATCCGTTTATGCGGGGCAAGAATGAGGTCCTTTTCCACCAAGAACCTCAAGAAGTATCTTCTAGGAAAGGAACCCGAGCCGGTAATAATTGATCGTCAATTGGGTTCTGCAAGAGTGATGCTTTTGCGCAACTTCTGTCATGATAGGTGAGATGTGACTACTGGATCACTCAGAAAACCTCCCTCTCCTTGACCGGATAATGGTTGGACGCAATCTTTCCCCAAGGAGCGAATGGCCAGGCCCATCCTTTTTCCCCGCCCCGCCCGTAGTGTAATGGCCGTTCCGCACCTCAATCTTCTCGCCGATGCAGGTCGCCATGGTGAAGGCGATGCTCTCACTCCTTCGTGTAATCCGTTACCGCTATCGCATGACCGCCTAGTCTGCGTTTTTGTCGCTACGGTTGTCGGTCCACAGGCCTGTCCTTCCCCTCTAGGGGGGTCGGGGAGAAACTCCCTCCTTGCGAGGCTCCATTTTGAAAAATCGCGCCGTTGCAAATTTCGCCCAGAAAGGCTGCGTCTGACGTCATACGTCATTTCCTCTCTCTGTTCCTTGAGAAGAGCGCCTGCGCTCTTGACTGTTTATGATCGTCGAAAAGGGGTACAAAAGCGCACGCGCAGGAGAGGTAGTCAATTTGCTGTAGTGTAGTGGGATGGCAGAATGTATAGGAAGGAGGTTTCAAGCTTTATAGCAGGAGTTAATTATGTTATAAATAAAATGGCTATATTCATAGAACACATCTACTCCTAGTTTACAAAGTGATCCCAATTTATTAGGTTTACCCAACGCGCTAAACCATAAGCTAAGAATGGAATTGTTTGAGACTAAAAAGTGATTTGTTTGTGGTTCTGTGTGCTGAACAAATGCAGCCAAAATATGTTAGCTATTCAGCAAGAACTTCGTGCAGGGGTCGTCCAAATACTGGAAGCATACGTTGAAGGCTTCTTTCATTGTTTCTATGCTCCCCCTATTCATTTATCTTCAGTCTACAAGCTACTTGTGTCAAGCCAAGGTACGTTGAACTCCACTACATAAAGATGCTAATCCCGAAATTTTTACTTTTTGTATTGATCCCACCCAATCTAAGATTAATCTATCTCAGCTGTGTCAATAGGATAAAATTGGAGAATTTAGTGATCCAGACATTGTAGCTGTGTCAACAACTGTTAATTGGAATATCTGACCCCAACCTGGATCTTATAGTCTGCTATTCTAGTGTTTGCATGACTGGTTTGTTCAACAAAAGGCAAAGTTGGTCGGCTTTGCATAACACATTAAGCCATACCACATTCTGAGCTCATACACACAGCCACTTTGCTATACTGTCCTGGAGTTGGGAGAAAAGTGTCAGTATATATAACGCTGTCACAACAGGATGGCTGTGATATGAATCTGGAAATAGGAGCTAGGCTGTGGAGAGGGCCTTTACATGTTCTCTGTGCAACCCTTATAAAAACAACGAAAAGTAATTTTCTTGGCTAAAATTCAAACATTGAACAATTGCTATAAAAAAAAAGATCCTCTGTCCAGTTCTGTCTGACTCTGGGAGGCAGTGCAGTGCTCATCTCAGTTTCTTATCTGAGGGAGCCAGTTGTTTTGTAAGCTTTACATTACCCCAGGGCTCAATAGTGTGGATTCATATACTGAGTATTATTATGATTGGATTATATGTTACATTATTATGTGAATTCATTTTTTTCTTACTGCTTTGGGTGAATTTAGCTGTTGTGACTTATATCTTGACATGGGTGAGCCCAGTGAGTTGCAGTATAAACCATAAATCTTTAAATGAAAGACGCTTTAGTGTGCTGTGTGAATCCTATCAACAATTAAGAGTAAAAAAATGCTGTTAATCTAGTAAAACAGCTTTGAATCAATTAACAAGTAGATATAGCCTTCAGAATAATGTCGGCAGTATATACACTTGCACAAGACAAAGTTGAAGGGAGGGGGGTTGGTGGGAATCAAGAAAAAGGTAGATATAATGTAAGATAAAATATAGCCAACCAAGCCAGGTAGACCAATTACAAACACAAACTATCTAAGGCAAGTAGGACAAGCTGCAACATATAAAAAGCCCACAAAACCCACTTCTTTGTGTCAAAGTACTGTTAATGTTACTTAGGTTGGTAATAAACTGCAAGAAAACTAAAATCCTAACATAAGGGTAGGACTTTGCAGCTTGATCCGTGCAGTTTTCTTAGCACTCATAGGAAAGTATTAGATCTAGATTCCCTTACAGATTGCCCTATTGAGAGTCAGTCCTGCCTGGGTCATCTTGATTCACTTTCAAAATCAGCTATTTGTTGCCACACACATTGCAATTTATTACTGTTCTGCAGTAATTTAACCTGCATTTGTGCTTTATTTTTAATGGTATAGCTGTTGCATGTTATACACTGTTTTCTAGTGGAATTGAAATTGGAAGTTCTTGTCATTCTGTTCTAAAGGATAAAAGTTACCAAGATACTAATTAACAAGATAAATGATATGATTTGAATCTTGCAGCATGATGAAACATTCTACAGCTTATAAAGAAAATCTAAATAGTTCATCATTGTTCTTGAATAAGATATACTCAAACTTATGGTTTTCCAACATAGTGGTAACTGAAATTTAATTTAGATATATTCTCTACTATTTTATTCTATCATGACTTAAAATATCTTTTTTTTTAAGAGATCACCTTTTATATTTCAGATCAAAACAGTCAGGTTTATATAAGGTTTATAAATTATCAGTCTTTCTACTGTATATTGAGTATTAATAGACTATAATGGAAAATTACTGTTACTGAATAAATGTTACGGTTATTATGGATTTTTATTATTCATGGTTTTATTGGTTTTTAATGTTTGTTAAGCTGCTCAGAGTCGCTTCAGAGTGAGATGGCAAGCAAATAAATCTAAATAAATAATATAGATTTGTAATAGCTTCTTAGATTTCAGCAGAAAGTCTAATTGTATAGATAATAGATAAAACATTTTAATGTTTACATTGTTTTTAGGCTATGAAGAACCCAGTCATCCTAGACTCTAGAATATTACTCCCATCACAGATATCCAATTGAGAATAAATCATAATTGTAGAACAGCGAAACCAACAGCAATAAAGAAGTCTTATGTAACAATTAGTTGAGGTTTAAGAAGTAAATTTAAATATTTATTAAAAATATATTACATACAATCTCTAGCAATTTGAATTGCTACTTAGAGGTCAATTGACATATTTGTCAATTTGTGCATGTCACTATGCAAGATTCAATTTATTTACATATATAGGAAACATTTTGTAACACTGTTTTAGATTTATGCAAGTTGAGAACACTCCTGTGTCCCACAGGGCAATATTTATATAAGAATATATTTGCTACATAATACAAACATTTGTTGAACTAATCACTTTCACAATGGCAGGTGACTTCAGCTCAGCCTCTTGCTAATGCATAAGTGTTTCTTTGAAATGTGTGTTTTAGCGTTCCCCTAATCCCCATCTGTGTTCAGTACCATCATGAGAAGCATGTCCATTTAGATCATACTTTAAAAAAAAACACATCATCAAATGGGCATAAACTATGTATGAGATCATCTCCCATAGTTCAGACTTAAAATATTAAATTTTCTTATTAGCCACAGTAATTTAGCAAGCTTATACCCTCCCTAATAAACAAACGGCAGCTGAGACCCCAGTTCATCCAAGCTGTTCTGTAAATTTTTTCCTTATTAAGTCTTACAATATAACCTTTGAGGCACGTATATTTTGGTTGTGTACAAGAGAGAAAAAAGCAAGCTTCTTATTGTCCTCTAGGAGCCCTGGCCTTTCATGCTTCTCTCTTTCTCTACAAACTAACTTCATTTTATTTTCACAAAAATATTTTGAGTTTTGGTCCAATTTAGTTTGAGGGTAGTTTGAAAACTTTAGTAAAATGGATTGTATTTTCCAAGAAATTATTTTAGAGCGAAATTAATGTATTAATTATTGTATTACTGTTGAAATTAGTGTATTACTGTTATTAGATAAACAAGCATTAAATATAATTTATTGACACGTGAAGCGGTAAATGGGAGGAAGTTAGGGATGTCTGAACTAAACAGTGTGAGCTGATCAAAATTAGCTAATGTAATTAAGTTTATTAATCAATTTTCTTTTGTAAGGCAACTGGCCACATGGGAATAAAACCAGATAACCAGATAGTATCAAGACTTTTTTTTGTAAAACTGAATTGCCCATGTTTATATATATATCCATATCAGGATTGAGAAAAATAGAATTAATCCCATTAGCCAATCATTGGCAGGTTTAGCATCTTCTGGAATTCTTATGAAATAATAGATAGAATCTAATAAGATTTTGCAAGATAGTTTTGTTTCTGGCTAAGAAAGTGTATTCAGAATAGTTATCCTTTAATAAATAATTGTTAACAAACTTATCCTTGTTAACACAGTCTAGGGCAAGAAAACCAGTTTTTGAAACATGGTGATGGACAAAAACACCCACATGAAACTGAAGCGCTTGCACAAAGCATTCCTTTAGGATTTCCTTATAGTCATAAGCATTTTTCATTAGCATCTATTACTGTTATGGCAACTATTTTTCCTACACTGGAAATGCCATAGATTGCAACTTTTTCATGTCATTGTGATTTAACTTCATTTTACATATCTCTGTTTATATATCTATCCTTATAAGGATAGCACTTCATACAACTAATGAAAAGGATTCCATCCCATAAAAACTTGTATTATTACAGGATAGATATTGTTTTGTATTTCACAAACTTTTTGAATTTATTTTCCTTAAAGAGTAAATTAAGTTAATATTTCAGCAACTTTTTCTTATATATGTACCATCCTAATAAGTGGACCATTTTTCAATATAGAATGCTCTGTACACTTTTATGTACTATTGTGCTTTTTTGTATTAATATCCCATCACATATTTTTATACTACACTTTAATTGTCCAGTCTAATGTCAAGTGAGTATTTAAACAGAAAGGTGACATACTTCTTTCCCTTTCAAAATCCATCAAAAATCCATCAACTAAAACATAGTTAACAGTGGGAAGAATAAATCATTATACATTACAATAACAGGTCTAC